TGTCCTCAATCATACAATCATTTGTATGATTGAGAACAGGAGGGTACTATAATGTAAAATATTGTAAAGCTTCAAAGTATAGAGTTTGCAGTAACTTGCTTTTCTATATATTTTCATTACATAGTTGATGTATTGTACACTAGTATGGTCATGCCCACAGGGGTGGGGCAGCGCAGCAGCAGGCAATCGCTGCCTAATTAATGGCTCTATTTAATACGGAATTCCCTGAAATCGTGAAGTATTGTTGCCATGTTAATGATGCAAACTGAGCATTTCTTTGTCCATTGTCTCTCCCACTTGCCCTGCCTGTCTCGTCCTGCCCTACCTCCCTGCCCTGCCTGCCATCCCTGCCCTGCCTTCCTGGTCTACTCTAGTTGTTCCTCCCATCCCTTCATCTCCTCGTCCCGTGTCTAAACGTAGGATTGACCTTCCCGGCTCCTGACCCACCGCGACCAACCCGACCACACTTTTGGATTTTTCCTCAGGACTTTGGTGTACCTGGTTCCCTTATTAAAGTGTTCTCCTGCATTTCGGGGTCTGCCTCTTCCCTGATTGCGAAGCCTGACAGAATACTTCGCCTGTATAATTTGGACCCCGCAGAGAACCAGAGGCTGCAGCAGCAGGTTGACCAGCTAACCACCCTCGTCTCTCAGCTTATGGAGGGACGGGCTGCCCAGGCTAACCTACCTGCTTCCCCACCAAGGGTGTCCACTTCTGTGCCTGTCGCAATGCCTGAGAAATATGAAGGCAACCCAGATCATTGCCAGGCTTTCGTCATGCAGTGCAGGCTGTTTATTGAGGAACACCCTGAGCGCTTTACTGATGAGACTGCCCGAGTTCGCTTTGTCATCTCGCTCCTCACAGGACTCGAACGTGATTGGGCTACAGCCCTGTGGATGGATGACAGTCCACTCCTAGATTCAGTATGCGAGTTTCAGCAGGCATTTAAGGGGATCTTCAATCATCCCGCCATCGGAGAAATTATTTGACCTCAAGCAGAATTTGCGCTGGAGTTCCGCACCATATCAGTGGGGCTTCGCTGGCCAGAGGAGGTTCTGAGGATTCTCTACCGACGCCTTCTCAACCCGGAGATATAAGATGAGCTGACGTATCCCAAATTGACTGGAGTACAAGTAACCGCATGGTCGCCCCTTTGTCTTCTCCAATGTATGGCCCTGCCTTGCTGTGTCTCTTCAGTTGAGAGCCCTGAACCAGAGGACCTTTCTCAGATTCTGGCCGAGTATGCGGATTTTCACGATGTCTTCAGTAAGGCCCTGTCATTTCAGCTACCTCCCCATCGAGAGTGTGACTGTGCCATCGACCTCCTAGAGGGGGCATCACTTCCAAAGGGGCGCCTGTACAGGAGGAGGAGACCATGGAGACCTATATACACAAAGGGCTCCAACAAGGTATCATTCATCCTTCTATATCACCGGTCTTAGCCGGATTCTTCTTCGTGAAGAAGAAGGATGGAGGACTTCTCCCTTGCATTGACTATCGAGTCCTCAACACCATCTCCGTGAAAAGATGGGGACCCCTGCTGCTGATCCCATCAGCACTCGAACAGCTTAGAAGGGCCACAGTTTTCACTAAACTGGACCTCCGTAGTGCCTATAACCTTGTGCGAATTAGTCAAGGTGACAAGTGGAAGACCTCCTTCATCACCAATACAGGCCAGTATGAGTACTGGGTGATGCCTTATGGGTTAGCTAACAGCCCTTTCTGTATTCCAGGCCTTCATGTATACCGTGTTTCGGAATATGGTGAACTGGTTCGTGGTCGTCTACATTGATGACATCCTGATGCCAGCTGTATGGGACGGCATAATCCGCTTGTCACCCAGATATATAAAATTTCCTTACACTGTGGTTGAACAGGCAAATATTAAAGCTCAATTTGCAGCGATGTCCGGTTTTCCCAATGTAATCGAAGCTATCGACTGCGCACACATTGCTATAAAGTCACCTTCAGATAACGAATTTGCTTATGCTTATGTAAATAGAAAACACTTTCACTCTATTAATGTACAAATTACGAGCGATTCGTACATGCGTCTCATTAATGCATGGGCGTTGCCGCCATTAAATCTGAGGTGGACGTGTCACATTTCATAATTATTCGTTTGTATCACCCCACATTCAACATAAAACATTAGTTTTATGCCAGTGTGTCCCCCCCGGTGGTAGAGCGCACTGTAGGGCAGCTTTAAGGCTGTTACCGCTGTCTGGACAAGACTGGTGGGGTGCTGCTATAGCCTACATGCAGTCCGCAAAAAGTGTGTCACATTGTGCATGCATGTAGCATGTTGCATAATCTGGCACAAAATCGTGGCTTGCTGGTATCTGAAGAGCTTAGGCAAGATGAACCTGACTCTGAGCCACCAAATTTTCCACCAAATGGAACAGCATTACAACGTAAGTATCACACAGCGTATCATTTAGATGTTTTAATTCATTGGAAACATCTTACAGCATTCACAATTTCTTTTTGTGACTGCAGTACAGCTTCAGTCAGCACACGGCCGGATGGTCGCCCCCTGGTTTCTGAGGCACGAGAATGTGTGCAGCCAGTGCCCAAAGATGTGCTCAGCACAGCAGCACCATCATCACCTGTTTCGTCCTCGGCACTGGGGGAACCTCTTGTACTATTGTACTAAACAAACAGAATGAACGAAAGTAACACCGCATCTGTGCCCTACGTGTTATTCATAAACATGCAAGTAATTCAAACAAGTATGGTACGAGAAAAACTCACCCGCGCTGACAACGTTCACCCAATAAAAGTGTGTCCCCGATCATGGCAGCAAAGTTGCTCAAAGGGTGAATTCCGCTACCTCCGCCTGTGCTGTTAAGACTCTTACGGTGAGTGGCTGCTCATTTTTTCACGTCGATTTTAATGTCCGACCACTTCTTTTTAATTTTGGCCACCGTACGAATTTCGGAACCAACACTTTTAACTGACTCCGCCACGCTGTGCCACTCCGTCAACTTTCGTTTATTGCTGATGCCACTTAAACCAAATAATTTAACTTTTCTTTTCTCGATTTCTGTTAAAGTGTTCTCTTGCATTTCGGGGTCTGCCTCTTCCCTGATCACGAAGCCTGAGATGTATATTTACTGTATGTTTTTTCTCCATTTTACAGTACTGTCCAAATAGGACTACTGTACAAGACTACACTGTAAAAAAAATGATGTGTTTTTACAACCAAAGTATTGCAAAAATTAACAGACAATTTCTGTTTTTTAAAAAGACATTTATAAGCCTGTAAATTATCTATTTACTCCTGTATTTTAACAGTGGTATTTTTAATTAACAGAAATTGTCTGTAAATTGATAAAAACTTAAGATTACTGTTATTTCACAGAGATTCCCATTATTTTACAGTTTTTCTCCATTGGTTTGGCTCATTTCTTGAAACAGAAATGACATTCTCAAAATAACATGGACAAATCTCCGAATCACCTTGCAATTGTTCACAACAGAATGGCATTTCTCATTGATTTCATCAAATTGCAAATGCCTTAGTACATGTCTCAAGTGTCTCAGTGCATCTTTGCAAATGGTTAAGTACAAGTAGCCTGCAGTTA